CTTTCATTTATACTCCTCCCCACACACTCCCACCTCAGATTTCATTCTTTCACATCCCGTTAARGTCTCCTTGTGTCTACGCTGTTCTTTTAAGTCACGGGGTTAAACTAGAAAAGGCAGAAAACAGCGGGGCACTCTTCAATGCTTGCTCCGCCYTTTGAAGTTGCTCTTTAAAGTTATCCCTCTCGCGCACAGTTCAATTGTAGTTGGCTGTCACCTGTTTCATCCCCATGTCTTTGTTGTAACGCGAGGTGTGTGGTTCCGTCTACGCCTACAGGTTTCGTCATTTTTTATCACAAACACCCCCTACCCTTGTACCCGTGTGCATGATACACTTGATGTAAAGCCCGTGACACAATTGRAAAGCGCACCACTATATTCCTGTGAGCTCTGAACAAAAAGAGACTTTGTTACCTTTCATCGCTCTGTGGTCTTCCTGTCCAGCGAGAGCTCTTTACTCATTTGTTCTCGTCCGACCTTGTCTCTTCACACCATGGCTAATTCCTGCACATAACAAGACTCACCGTCTCACGCTTCTCGCTGTTTGATCGTGAAAAATTAATGAAGTGCTGCTCACATATTTCAGATGCATTCTCCTCAAAGGAATCAGCCTCCTACCAATTTATGTTTTACTTTACAGAGGGAGTTGGTAAGCAAAAATATCTCGCTGAGTGATTGCTCGGACCTGATCTTAAAGCAGTGATTCCTTAAATGCCTCCATTATCCGTCTCTGTTTCTTCTCACTTCACATGCATTTTCAAAATGCATCTATTCAGTCTAGAATCGTTCATGGCCCACACGCATGCTGATGCATGGGCTCTGGAAGCAGAAAATGCCCCTTAAAAAATTTAACAAATTTAGTTGCCTTTGGCACTGATCTACAAGCTGACCTTATTAGGCGAACCTAGGCCTTTCTGTTCCTGCCTCGGGGAAAGGCGGCCTTCTGCATGGAAGCTAGATTTCAATAACTTAACTGAGAACTTGGAGAAAAATGCAGAGCAAGTGAGCAAGCAAGCGACCGTCCACCTCCTTTTTGCTTCACTAAACAAGAGATGCAGGTCACCCATGTGCAGTGGCACACTTATCTCTCTGCAAATACAAGGCGACAAAATGCTCTCCTGCCCTGACAGAAAAAGAGTAGGAAATGGATAGGAATGGAAATGGAAATTAACAGCGAAATCAGTTCAAGATGTGCATCAGTGACAACAGTTTAGGGTTTGCATGAAAGAAAATTTGAAAGAGAAATTCTGAGGTCTTGGGGGGTGGTGGTGAAAAGAAAGCAATGAAACAGAAAGATGGTAAAGAAGGAGTGCAGGAGCAGAATTTTGCAGACATGTGGTGAATCACACACATGCTGCAAGAGCCCCATCATTTTGAACACCTTTTACAAATGATGAGTCACACCTTGCCACCATGTTTCTCTCCTTTCCTATCATCAGCCTCCCTGGAATTCCTCTCTGTTTTTTCTCATTGAAAATTTTCCCAGCTTCTTCGTGTGTTTCTTTCTTTTATCTTGCGCTCCACCTTTATCCTGGCTTGGCCTCTTTCTTTATTGCTTCTCTCGTTTTCTTTTTCTCCTGCTGTTTTATTTTTTTATTTTTTGACTACACCACTCAACTGTGTGTGTCAACATCATCCAGGAGAGCCATGGATGTGCCATACTAATAAGGTTAGCGGGAGCATCTCTGTTTCTTGTGGTGACACCTTTATAAATGGCAGGACCACAAGGCCCCGCTGGTGTTCAATCACCTCTGTAGGCGCTTGGCCGTGGGGAGCTCAGCGTGTGCGGTGTGTGTGTGTGAGAGAGATTGTGTACAGGAGTCTATTTGCACGTGTACTTCCTCAGCAGGTCCCGGGGCAGCCGGGTTTTACGGTGGATCTAGTTGGAGCGGACAACCGCATTAGGGAGTAAACAGGTCTGGAGGCAGAGTGAAGACGAAGGAAAGAAATGACAGCCTTGAGCTCATCTGACCGGTTCTGCCTTGTTATGACTCCCTGATGTGTGCACCAGGGGCACACAAAACAGACAGTTATTGCTTTGCACCAGCTCTCCTTGTGTTCTGTAGTCTGCTTTCTCACAAGCTCACTTTATGGCCTCCACTGAGGACTGTTATCTACTTGTAGTACAAGTTTTTCTGTTACTTTTGGTGTTTTGACCAGACTTTTTGATTAGACAGAAGTGTAAAGTGTGACTCAAAAGTTGCAACTCAGACTTAATTAAATTCCTTTCATATCTCACCCGTCTAGTCACAGTTATTAAAAATTGAATACAAGACAGATACAAGAAAGTTAAACAACAAATTGTTTTGCTTTACTGATGCAGAAAATGATGTTTAGATGGATGAGAAAAAACAAGAMGAATCTAGGGCAAACCAAAGTGTGGAAACTTGGTGCTCTTCTATCATTTCTTTTCAAATMAAATATTTTCTTTAGACCCCCCAACAAATGCTTTGTCAAGAAAAGCAACAAAATGAGTCACACATAATTTGGAAACTTGCTGGCCTAAGAATGGGGTCACATGCTGGTATTCCAGATAGGGAACCGAAACCAGCAGCAGCAGTTGTCAACAAATTAAACCCAAATATGTGCTGATCCATAAAAACAAATCTTAGGGCTGTTCTGCCTCACAACATGGACACTGCTTCTTGTGGGTCTTATTTGGAACTTTTTCCATGGTTGTGTTCTCAGAAAACCACAAAAAAAGAAGAAAAAAGTAAACAAACAGCACAAAAAAATGTAAAAACACAGTCACTGGCTAACATATTAGCCTAATTTACAATTCAGCAGGTTTTCCTCTCAGCACACAGACTTGAATGTCATGAATGGTAGAACAGGATCATACAGATTACTGGAATAGCATCAGGAAACTGGCGAGTGATAATCTCTCCACAGGCTCATTTTTATTGCAGTTCTCCTTAAGCTGCCAGGAACGTCAAGCCCACAGACTGGGGCTCCTGTGTTTATTTTTTTGTGGCAAACGCARAGACACAATAAAACATGCCACGGCGCGTGTGTTTTTATGAATGCTGATTTTGCACCACCTGTCAGCGACGGGCAGAAAACAGAGAGAGAGAGAGAGCCATGAAAGCCCGAAACACTTCACCTATGCACGCAGGCTGCTGAAATGCACCGTCATCATTCCTGGCCATAAAAGCCGCTCAGCCAGTGAATGCAGTCTGAGTTCATTCTCTCCTCCATGCCCAGTCAGAGCTATTTTTAGTTCCCCTGTGCAGCGTGGCTCAACCGACGTTGTAGCTACCTGGATATGAGGGCTTTGTCACTCCTGCAGCCTGGAGCAGCACTGATCTTGCAAGCTTTACACCTTCCTGCTTCCARAGCTGTAAAAACACCTCCTACAGTGATGGAAATGAAACGGGATGGATGGGAGGGAGGGAGGGTGAGGTGGGGTGGGGAGAAATAACCACATAACAGCAAAATATGTTTCAAGATGTAAATAAAATTGCAATCTAGGAGTGGAAAGACCAAAATTGAATACTAATGAGGCAATCTAAACATGCAGCCTGTTAAGTTAAAACAATTCCAGCAATTATGGATTAATTAATTTATCCCAATAAAAAGGCAACTGAGGAATCCAATTTTAGAGCTGTAGTTTTAATTGAGTTAAACATAACAGATGATTCAAGACAGCACTGCAGCTGAAGTAAGAAAATAAGACATGTATTAAAATATGATAATAGCCATGCGTGTTTGTTGTGATGAATTTCCATTAGCTGAGAAAGCAAAGTGCCTTTTCTTGCATTTCACATGCATTGTTAGTCACACACATTTTGTTTTGTTTGTCTTTCTCCTGCAGGTATACAAACCTGTTCCTATTAATTCAGCATAATGTTATTCAGAATTTCCTAGCACAGTAAACAAATTCTCCAAACGGATTCGTTTGAAACGACTGTGCTGCAATCCCATGGTGCGTTATGACTGTTTAAATGAAGGCAGTGCCTGGAGAGATGTTCTGAGAGGTTCCCTGTTTCTGTTTTTGCTTGGTATCCTAACACTAACATTGTTGTGTCTTACATGTAGCTTCAGCTTTAATCCATTAGATCGCTCCTCTGCAACAGTTTATAAAACATACTTTGTGTTTTTTCTTTCTATTTTGATGTTAAGAAATTGACAGTTTTAGGTAACGTCATTACAGTTACAACCAAACAGTTGCAGGACTGTTACAATTCTGGTTTGGGGCTGCAGTGGCAACATGTTACTCCTCAATATTAACATAAAGACATCTGCTAATTATGTGGCAGTGTGACACAGATGGCAATGAATTATCGTTTAAAAAACGGCTTCAACATTTTGTTTTTTTGTCCATTACAATATGTTATTGCAAAGCTTTAACATTTTCTATTAAACTAAATTCCTCATGTGCTTAATTTCTCCAAAACAAATTACGATGGGCACTTTTAGACAGATCTCAGTGATTCTTACAATGGCACTTTGCACTTTAGTGCTTTCATTTGAGTAAAGAGTCTTTGAGAAGCATCTGCTTTAAACATGTCAAAATATAACAGTTTTGACCTCATAAAAGACACTTGCTCTCCATTTCACTGTGTTAGTTTTGCTTATATTTGTTGTATGTCTCAATGGCCATATACAGCTGCCAACACCAAGGCTGATGCGGAAGTAAGTTCCTTTGGCTTTCTATATAGTAATAGCACATGTTCAATATAGAGGCAGAAAAAAAGATGATCCCTAAAGTGCCTCTGGCAGTGCCTCTGGCTACAGGGCCAACTCAAAAGCACACACACTGAACCACACACTATCTGTGTTTTGTCTTCCACAGAGGAGGAGAGGACCACATGTGTCTCCCTGAATACTTTTTTTTAAGAAAAAGTGGGAAGTGTTTCTAATCTTGCAAGGAAAAGAAAGTCAATTCTACTTTTATGATACAACACTTTTACTAGATGTAAATGTCTGATTCTGTTTATTTCTCTGTTTTGTTTCAATCACCCCCACTAATTACATTTTTCTCCTTTCTGGCTCAACAGGTTGTCAGCCCCCCAATTGCAGGGGCATTTAAAGAACGACCCTACAAACCTACCAGATTTCGCATGTACTACGAGAGGGGAGAGTTCCCAATTGCGCTGGCACATGACAACAGGGGCAACAGCATTACATGGAAGGTAAGGATGCTACCTTTAAGTAAAACCGTACCTTGGATTTGCATGACGTGCAGTTAGCTGTGCACTTCACTGCCATTCGTGACTTACCCGGATTTACACTGCGTCCGCTCCGGTGTGAAGATCAGAGGTGCACTAAAGCCAGCGACAAACGCTGAAGTCAGACCAAAACAAGACAGACTGAAAACATTTGAAACTGCATTGCTGTTGGTTTTAAAAAAATCACATTTTGTTAATATTATGTGTGAATGCATAGCCATAAATGAAAGCTTGTATGTATAAATATAACCATATATTTATTAATATAGCTAGGATTTCAACAAAATCTATAACAATGAATTATTTTAAAAATACGGACTTGTTCATTTTCCAGTTGGTTTGGTCATTGTAGATTGACTCTGCGCTTGCTCCGTCTTCTGGCAAAAATAGACTCAAGTTAAGTTCTGGCAGATGGCCGCGCACATGCCACCACCCTTTGCCACTCTGTGGAAGTAATCTCAATTCTTTGATTGACTATGAAGTGTTCGTTTTTACTGCTGAGTCTGTGCCACGGCAGAGCAGAGCAGACGCAGGGTAAATCCGGGGTTACAAATACTTCACTGTCTATTGACAAAAAGGCTGTTGGGTAGAAGATGGTTATGTGTCATGAGAAGATGCTGTATGTCAGAACGGGGATGGGATAGGTTCTCTCAGTAAAGTAAATATCCTTCAGGATCACATAAAATCGAATTGGACCTTCTGTAATTAAAAGCTTTAAAATATCGTAGAAACTGTGAAGACATTATCTGTGAAGCAACACCCAATATTTACTACTGTTAAAAGCTGTAAGATGAAACTTTTTTTTTTCACACAACTTGTTTGCATCGGTTTTCTGAAGACTTGTGAAGTGCTATATAAACACTTTTTTTATTCATTATCAACTCGACTAAGGTGATGAAGGCAGTTTTTCACATGCTCACACAGGCCTAGTTTGTGCTGTTTTCCTGTAGGAGGCAGTATAGATCAGCTGACTTGTTGAAGGTTCCACTGGTCTCACAGCACCAGTCACAGAACCCATCAATCATAAACTTTATAGGAATTCAGGACGGGCACTGCAAAACACGGGGAGCATTTGTGTAGGTGTATATGTGTGTGTGTTTGTGTGTTTTCAACTCCCCACAGATCCATTACGTTTGACTCCTGACTGGCACTGTGTGTGTGTGTGTGTGTGTGTGTGTGTGTGTGTGTGTGTGTGTGTGGGAGGAATTCATTTTTCTAATCATCATATTGCTTTATTTAAACTCCCACTGTGCTGCCAGGTATTCTGTAACTTTACAACTGTCATGCAACAACCACTCCTAATGACATTTCTTCATGGTAAACAATGATAAGCGAATCAAGCAAATTATGCCTCCTTTCCCCCTTTTTTTCCTCACTTGAAAAGGAAAAAGAAAGGTGGGTGCGTGAGCTCTCCCTCCCTAGTTAGCTGTCTGTCTTCAGGTGAAAACACCGTAAAAGCATCTCTGTTTGCATGAATTATTTATGTAAGATGTTCAAATGAATGTTCGTGTTAGCAAAAAAAATAATGGATTTTTTTGTGCTCTGACCATGAAAAAGCACACAGTAAATGGGATGTGGTGTATGAAATTGTTGCTGTCACATCAAGTGCTTCTGTTATACTTYCTGATTTCCTCCAATTACTCACACACAATCTTGTCAGTTTAAASTCTTGGGAAAAGGAATAAAAATAAAAGTTTTATTACTCAAATTGRGCCTCTTTCTTTGCACTTTATCTTTGTAAAAGTACCTCTGTATGTTTTTAAGAAAGCAGTATTGTTCCTATCTGYCTGGAGCTGTTGAAAGCAGTCCAGGTAGAAATAGTTTTGTGCTGTGTGCTTGCACATACGAGTGTAGTGTAACATTTTAGTGTAACTGTGACCAGAGTAAGTGGAGAGGGGCTGCTGTGTGTTTGCACTGAGCTGCCCTAGGGGCACAGGTTCAAGACGGCAGCTCAGGATCAATCCCAGTCGGAGAGCTCAGCTTCCAAGCAAATAAAAAGTCGGTGGAAAGTAAGAAACAGAGCAAGTCTTTTGGAGAGAAAATAAACTGTGTTTTTTTTTTTTTTTTTGTACTGAGTGTCCAACAAATTGCATGTCCCGTGTTCACATGTTGCCGGTCATTCTCATGTGTATGCATCTATCATTATAATGTGAAGACAACATTCAGATCAGAAGTTCAGGTTTTCTCCTCCACACAAGCTTTACATGCACATTTTTCTTAGAAGGTCACACTATCTTATCATAAAATAAACAAGCAGGACTCCCATTTAGCTGAACAGTTCTGTTCGATCAATACTGGCATAAATTGTGAAGGTGCACATGTAGTTCCTTTTCCTTTCTTTCTAGTAGCAAGCAGCAGGGATAACAGTAAGTGTTTCTGGACTGTTTGTGAATCATCAGCTGCCTGTTATTTGCATTTTTCTGTAAACACTGTAGCAGCCCAGCCCACTGAGTTTTATAGTGAAAAGTCCAATTTATGGAAAGAATTTGTTTTCAAACATCTTCTGTATATTTGCGGAAGGGACAACTGTTGTCAACGTGTTAACAAGTAATTTCRGTTGGGATCTTTTTTGTTTAGGATTTTGAAAGTAATGTAAATGTTGAAGCATCCTGACTTTTTCCATGCAACTTGATTTAAAAGCATTTATGCTAACGGTTGTCTGTCACTGTTTTTTAAACTCGGTTCTTGGCACATTCTCTTCACTTCAACAAGGAAGATTYTGGAGAAACTTTGTGTTTAAGTGAGCAGAAAAGAAAAGACTGAAACTCGTGAGAGAACAAATCAGTAAAGCAAAGTTTTTTTTAAAATTTTGCTTTACCGAGGAAATACAGAAAATGGTTCTGTCAAGCCCTCAGCTCACCTGAATGAAAACCCTCAGGTAGCTTTCACGTCTCTGAACTTTATGTCAAAGTCTCTGCACCGAGTGAGAATACAGCGTTGCATTCTGACAAAGGGCTGCAAGAAGAGAAGGGAAATCTTTAAAAATATATATACTTAGCACAAAATGTAAAGACATTTGTGTTTGGTAGATGAATTCTTGGTTGTAACAATGCTTCTCTGCATTAAATCTTATATCGTGTACCTGATTGGCAGCACTTAGATGTACCAGAAGCTCAAAACAACTTAAAATAGCAACAGCAAAATAAGCTGTTTGACAGTGAGAGAGAAGACTAGACAAACTTTTCATGTTCACAACCCACATACTCAACTTTACTGCTCATCTTATCTAATTTCCCTCTAGGATCAATAAAGTATTTTTGAATTAAATTTGAATTTACATTGAATCCCATAAATGCATGTTTCTTACAAATGTGGCACCATTTAAAAGGGATATTAACAGGCTTTCCAACGGTGTAAGATATACTGCCATAAATAAATAATCTACCAAACACAAATTTCTTTACTTTTTCTGTTAAGTTCATTTGATTGATAAATTTCTATTGCACTCTCATGCTGCTTTATTGGCATATAATTGTACTTCCCAAGTGCTGCACCCCCAAACCTAAAGAACACTACAAACACATTTTCCAGAGATAATGAAACGACTGCACTCCTCTGGTMGGTTATATTACATAACTGAGACAGTTCCCTCTTTTATGTGGTGTATGCCGTTTGTAAAGGCTGTTCTTATTTTGCTTTTAAATGAAGAAATAACTGGTGTGTGTTTAGCTTTGCAGGCTGTCTGTATGTCTAGACAAGAAAATAGTTTTTTTATTATATTTGTTGAAGTTATTCTATATGCACAATTGACAATCTTCTAAAAAGGATCAAATAAGTAACAGAACTTATTTTCCAACACAGTTATGTCATGACACAATTTCTTGTCATGAACACAAAACTGTGCTTGACGAGACAAGTTTTAATCCTGCAAAAAAGTTATTAATAACCCTTGGCTTATTCCATCTTAACCACTTTCTTACATATAGAAAGTCTGAATTTGTTTAAAATGCAAACAYTGCAATGGGGATGGACACACAGCTCTGTCAGTTAAGGGCATTTGTGTGCTTGTTGGAGTATGTTTAGCTTTACAGGCTGTGTATGAGTCTYTGTACAGAGGAAATGCAAGCGAACAAAAAATCAAGGGCAAGTTGAAAAAGGGAAGGTTGGATCTGAAAGGTAATTTGGCTCTCCAGAGGTAAAAGCCTCAGCTGTAATGGGGCGCTCAGGTAAAAGCTTTACACATATGGGGAACATGTGCGGCAGGTAGATAAGAGCGAGTCGAGCGAGTTCCTACCCCTGTCTATTTGTGTTTGTGTGGCTGTGTGTTTGTTCCTGAGCGGGTGTAGGGTTTGCGCGTGTTTGTGTCCTGCCGTAACGCAGAAGCCAAAAGCCTGGAACAGCACCATAATCTACTGCGATGCCCGGCGCCAAAAATGAGCGAGATAGCGGGTGAGACTGGGGTGGAAAGAGGGAGAGAACTCCGCAGGGGCTCGGCAATCAGGAGACATYGCAGACGCTTGGCTTTCAGTTATAATGGATGAGTTGAGGTCTTCCTGTGCTCCCTGTGGGGCTTTGTTTGACTCACCTATCTCTACATTGTGTTGTGCTCRGCAGGCTTGAAGCCAAACATCACGATACAGAGATACACACACATACTGTACCTCACATGTGCAATATACATCCTAAGCACTGTTGTTTGTTTTATTTCATTGATCGCCCATCTGCTTTATCATGTAGTTGATCTCCTGTTCAGCTCAGTGTCTCCTGTGCTCCAGGTTGTTTGTTTTGCCCTCTCCCTATATCCTCGCTGTCTGTTTCTACAGGCATCCACCCTTTCATGTCACCAATCATCCTCTTTCTCTTGGCTCTCTTGTGTCTGTTCCCCTTTGTCCTTTTACAAAGCCAGCAGACAGAGCAGACGAAAAAAAGACATTTTCAAAAATATCAATGCAAACCTGATTTTGGCACACCCTCCACCACCATGGTGGCTTTGGTCTGCAGAAAAAAAAAGGGGGGCAATCACA